CAAAGTTATGGCATTTTTTTCTTGCGTCACAATCAACATGAACCAACCTGTAGGCTCAGATTTTCGTTGCATAAATTTTAGTGATAGGAACGGCAGAAAAGTTACACTCAGACCCTGCACTTGTTAGTAGTAGGAGGAGGAACGAAACTGCATCGATTTCGATGTTTTTCGACCAGTGGTTGCCATCTTACGAGAGCCACTTGGTACTTTTATATGGCATAAATTCTTTTTTTTTGCTAATCTGGCCGGCGGGATACTACCTTGTTCTTTCTTCTGCAATACAATACAGATTACCTACCCGCATCTAGCGGGCCAAGAGTTCACGGGTAGCAGCTCGGCAAAACTGAATATCTCGTGATCATGGTAGGTTGCCCACACACCCCAAACAGAAAACGAAGCAAGTTCAAACGCACAGCATGCTGCCGTTGCCCCTGCATGCCGCATTGCTATGAGCATTGGGGTCCCGCAGCACTCCGCGTTTTCAATCTTGATGTGAACTGTTCCAGATTCAAAACGAAGGGCATTGGGAAATGCCTGGTGTTTGCAGTTCTCGAGCTCTCTAGGGTGATTTTTGAAACCAGCCTTGCAAAGAAGATTGGGAAACCGGAAAAGCTAGAAAATAAATTTACACACGGAAACTGCTTTCAAGCGGTGGTGCGGACCACCAATGTGTGGCGGAAATTTGGAGTTGACTGCGGACAAAATCACCGAGAAAAGCCACGATGGCATGCTCAGTCATGGTGAGTCGGTAGCAAGAACAGTATAGTTGAATCCGAATATTCGAGTTCGAATAATTTATTTGAAAAATTCGACTATTCGAATATTCGAATAGTCGAATGTTTGAAAGAAACGCAATTATTTGACTGTTCGAATAGTCGAATAAACAAAAGAGACAATTATTCGAATATTCGTTCATTCGCCCGTTTGGAAAAACGGCGTATTCGAATATTCGAATATTCGATACGTTGGAGAAAACCAATATTCGAATATTCGAATATTCAACGCAATAAAAAAAGGACTTATTTGAATGTTCGAATATTCGAACCGACAGAACTTAACTTTCTACCGATCGCCTCCTCTTGTCGACTTCTGAACGACCCCTTCACTCTTCGGAGCCTCTAATATGGGGGAAGTTGTAACAACGCGTAACAGCTTCCAAAGAACGCGCTTCGTTGCGGGACCTCGCCCAAACATTAATCGATGACTTTACATTTCCTTCGCATCAGTGCATTTCCCCTGAGTTCCATTGAGCTGTTTTTCTTCGTAGCAGAGATTTATACTTCATACTTCGTGACGCTAAAGTGCTTTCATTTCATTTTTGATACTTTTTGCCTGTTGCTCAAGTTGTCGACTATTTTCCTTTGTATGAACACAGCTACCCACGTCATTGATGGTTTCTGTCGAGTTTTTGAAGTTTCTCATTTTTTTCAGAGGAATATTATGCAATCGCAGTGCGATGCGTTGGTAAGTTTGATTTTACTGAATGATCCACCACTGAATCCTTGAAAAGATTTTGCTAACATTAGTCCTTTTTGTCATTTCTACTTTTGGAGTTCAAGCACGTTACTTCTGACAGTGAATGATGTTGTTTACATCAACTCATCAAGCTAATAGAGCAAGATGGCTAATTTTGGAACGCCGAATTGTCTTTTTTTCATTTTTTTGATGCTTTTTTGCGCGAATGAATGAACTTGTCGTCTATCAATCATTGTATCGACAGCTAACAGCGTCATCAATGCCGATTTTGTTGAGTATGGGGGTTTTCAAACCTTTTTTCCAGCAGAGGAGTCCAATACGATCTCTACGAAGAGTATCAATTTCTGCATTCTGCTGAATGTTAACATGTTTGGATGAACTAACGATCAGTTCACGATACTTACAAGGTGATTTAAGCTTCAAGGAGTGCCTGAAGCGATAAATGTGGATCGAAAACTCCAGATAATCGAATCATTATATGTGTTGTGTTAGTGTCTGATCAGTTATTTCCTCGTATGATCTGCCCTCGCTGAGGCGCCTGCAGCCTCATTGCGTGGGAAATGAGTTCGTCTGTTCACTCATCTACCTCTCTTATTTTGCTGTTCTATTTCTAATAAATATTCTCTATTCCTCGTGTGCCGCCCAACGGACGAAAGTACGAAGAAGTGTCCGAATCCAAAGGACACAACAGTGGCGATCAGGATCGGAGGCTGAAGGACGAAGCTTCCTTGAAATGGAAGAAGAAACTGTTCAGAGCGGTCGAAATCTCGTGGCCAGATAGAATTGAGTAATTGATCGACATGGCGAAGATGGAGGCCCAAGAAATGTTGATCATGTTCAAGGAACTGATCAAAGAAGACCAGAAGGACCTTCGGGAGTTGATGAAGGAAGACCAGAAGAATTTTCGGGAGCTGATGAAAGAAGAAAGAAGAGCGATGACGGAGATGTTTTTGAAGCACATTGCAAGTACTGGACAAGTCAGTACATCGTCGGAAGCGCCGAACATGATGTCCGCGCTCAGCAGTCGGATCGAAAAGTTCTACTTCGACCCCGGGGCGGACATGTGCTTCAGCAAATGGTACGCCCGTTACAAGGAAGTCTTCGTCGAAGATGCGAAGCAGCTCACAGAGAGTGCCAGGGTGAGGCTGCTCTGCGAAAAGCTGGACAAGGAAAGTTTCGAAAAATATCAGAGCCATGTGCTACCGAAAGAGGTGACTGCGATTAAGTTCGAAGAAACTGTCGAAACATTGAAGCAGCTGTTGATGTGAAGATTTCGGAGTTCACTATGCGATACCAGTGCTTGAAACTGGAGAAGGCGGATTCCGAAGATTACCTCATGTATACCGGTTGAGTGAACGAACTATGCGAGAAAGCGAAGATCCACGAATTGGATAGCGATGGAATCAAATGTCTCCTATGGATTTTTGGCCTGAAGAGCCAAAAAGAAGCCGAAATCAGGCAGCGACTCATAGCCGTACTGGACAAGGAGTACAAGGCTGGACGAAAGATGTCGCTACAGGAATTGTACCTGGAGTGCGAATACTTCCTTAGTCTCAAGAAGGATAGCGAGACTGTGGCTGGTTGCACGAAGATTGTCGAAGCCACAAGCAAGGAAGAACCCAAGAAGCTGGAATGCTGGACCTGTGTAAAGCTCACTTTGCCAGGGAATGCAAAGCGAAGCTGTGGTATTGCAAGAAGTGCAAGAAGACGGGCCACAAGGAGAAGTATTGCGAACAAGTAGCGGAGAAGCACTTGTTCAAGATTCGAAACGAAGAATCCACAAAAGCAGCGACACCAGTAAGAATAGAAGTTGGACGAAACCAAAACGTCATGTGCACAGCGTAGCGAAGATTGCAAATGCGATGGTGGATGTCAATTCGACACGCTTGTATATCGAAGCAAGAGTGAATAGTCATCCAGTTAGCTTTCTGCTAGATACTGGATCAGACATCACGCTGTTGAACGAATCAGTTTGGAAAAGCATGGGTGCTCCTCGACTAGAGCAGACAAACGTGATTTTCAAGAACGCTAGTGGAGGCTCCATGGAAGTCCATGGAAAGCTATGGTGTGAGTACGAAATCAAAGGATCCAGAAGCGAAGGCTACGCATACGTGACGCCCCACAACTCACTGCTAGGATTAGAGTGGATCCAGAAAAACGAAGATATGTCCTATCACTTAAGCAGAATGGTTGCCGAAGTGAAAACAGAGCAAACCAGCGGCATCGCTACGAAGCTAAAGAAAACCTACCCAGAAGTCTGCGAAGAAGGTCTAGGACTCTGCACAAAAGAGAAAGCGCACTTGAGAGTTAACGAAAACGTTCGCCCAGTATTCAAGGCTTGCAGACACCATGCTGCGCTCGAAGCCGTCGAAAAGGAGCTTGATAGGCTGTTGGAGCTAAGCGTCATAAGTCCAGTGACACATAGTGATTGGGCAGCTCCCATCGTCTGTGTTAGGAAAGCGATTGGAAAGTTGCGAGTATGTGCTGATTTCTCAACTGGACTCAACAAAGCGCTGGAATCATATGATTACCCGTTGCCATTGCCTGAGGATATATTCGCATCCCTCAATGGAGGCACGGTGTTTTCGCAGATAGATCTGTCGGACGCCTATCTGCAGATTGAGTTGTCAGAAGAAGCGAAGAAATTAGTCCTAATAAATACGCATAGAGTCTGTATCAGTACAACAGACTGCCTTTTGGAATCAAGACAGCACCAGGGATCTTCCAACAAATCATGAACAAGATGGTGAATGGTCTGCGAGGAGTAGCAGCCCACCTAGACGACATCTTGGTTTGTGGAAGAACCGAAGAAAAACATATGGAGAACTTGCTAGCTGTTTTTGCAAGGATAGCCGAATATGGATTCAGGACTCGGTTAGAGAAGTGTTCTTTCGGCAAGCCAGAAATACGATATCTCTATCGCCGCGATCGGATACGGTATCGTTACCGCCGCGATCGGATACGGTATCATCGCATGATGTGTTTTGAGAATTTGAACTTTTTATTGTAATGTTTCTGTTATGTTAACAGCTTGGGCGGCAGTTCTTGAGATGCAAGCGGCAGCGGCCGCTCGTGTTCAAACAGTCGTTTTTCTCCTCTTCTTGTCAACATTGCTTTCAAGTTATGCCTCTCATCTGCTGTCCATTTGGAATGCGCGCCAAAAAGAACTCTGGAGACAATTTCTACGCAACACACTTTTCAACAGTTTTTCTTGTGGTCAATTGCGCTGAAAAATGCCTACGCACTTTCTTGCAAACACACTTCCTGTTTTTTGGTTGCTTAACAGTAAAGTGCGCTTGTATCATTCATTTGCGTCATATTTTGGTATTTTCTGTGCCTAATTGCCATATCACAATGCTTTATCTTTGTCATACATTTATTCGTAATTGTTGCATTCAAGTATTTTGTATGAGGATTTAATTACCCAAGTTTGAGGTAAACGTTGCGCAAAGTGGTGTTGGGTGTGTTCTTCCTGGTTGTCAGTGTAACAATACCGCGTGGCATTTGCGAGCACAAACCGATTCATGGTGCATCGTCTAACAAGAGGACAGGACCGCAGAGGTACGATTTGAATCCTCGCCATATCATAGCGCCGGATTGTAATCATTGCACATCTGATTTTTTTCTCATTTCTGATCTCAACTTTGAATTTTGCGCAATAACTCAAAAGAAAACATTTTCATCTCTTTATCTCAACCAAAAAAAAAGTTACTAAAAGGATTTTACGCTTTGCGAATTTTTGACTATGTCCGGACCAGTAGCTTTGAAATCACAAAAAGCGCTCCTCACCAGATACTGCAATAATCTGGGCAAAGTCATTTCTAAAGCGCAAAGTATTGCCGATCCAGAACACGCGGCATTTCTTGATCTAGATACGCTACAGTATGCGCAACGCATAGTTTTCGAACTGAAGGCCAGTTGCAAGATCGTCATAGAAAATTTGTCCAATTTCATACAAATGGTAGATACTGTAGCCGAAACATTATCAGAAGATCAAGAAAAAACTACTCAAGAGTATATTGAAGTAGCGCATGGACTGATCGATCAGGCACAGTGTTTAGCAATTCAGTTGGAAGCGCGAGCGGTCAGTACACGAAGCCGCGACTTACATAGCGCACCACCGGAAAACACATATGGAGTAGGGGGACAAGCAAATATGGAAAGATCGAAATTGCCTGCAATTCCCATACCCATTTTTTCCGGAAAACCGTGGGAATTCACTAATTTTTGGACTCTTTTTGAAACTAACGTACATCATCAGACGTTATCTAACTTACAAAAATTCAATTATCTTCTGAATGCGCTAAGAGGAGAGGCTCTAGAATCTATCAAGCGCTATTCCATAACTGAAGATAATTATGAACCCGCGGTAGAATTGCTAAAGAAAAAATACGGTAATGATTCACAGCTCATATCGCGCCTACAATCTAGACTCGAAAGTACTAAGGCACAAAATCAATCAATCTCGGCGCAACGACATCTTCTTGAGCAAATTATTCCTATAGTAACACAGCTGCAAGCAAAAAGCGTAAACTTGGATGGTTCGTTTATGGCGCACAAAATTCTCGCTAAATTTGCAATACGAATCCAGCGCAAAGTACTAGAAAAAAGAGTTCATGAAAGAACGAAAGAGGGTGATTGGAAAATGAAAGAAATAATCGAAGAACTTGAGGAAACTATCTCTATGGAAGAACACATCGACGAAATGTTACAGGTAAACGAAACACACTACAAAAAACCAGAAAATTACGTCACGCGCCAAAATTTCAATCGTGCAAGCAAAACGCCGTTCCCATGCATGTTTTGCGCGTCAACCGAGCACGCAGCTTTGAACTGCACAAAGTACGCAACATTATCGGAGCGGCGATCGGTTTTTCAACAAAACAACAAATGTCTTAACTGCGGCAGACAAGGGCACTTTGCCAACGTCTGTATGAAAGAGGGATGCAGGTCATGCGAGGGTAAAAAGCATCACTATACCCTTTGTCCGCAGAGGCAGAAAAGAAACGGTAATCCCTTGCTTCCAAAGCCTACAAATTTCAATAGTAACCACAGAAACCAAACAAAAGAAAAAGGCAAAAAGCCAGAGAGCAAAATACGGGCACAAGTGGTGCAAACGAATACTGAAAGTAACCAGGCTGACCTCACGAGGGAGGAAAGCAGCGAAACAGTGGTTTTTCACTGTGAAGAGCATAGAAAACAGATTTTCAACGCTCAGGTTTTATTGTTGACGGGACAAGCCCGAGTAAAAGGCGCCCAATCGGGAAAACGGAAGCAGGTGGAAGTCCTTCTAGACACGGGAGCGGATCAGTCGTTCATAAATGAAAGGCTTGCGCGGGATCTGGGACTTCAGTGCAAAGAAACAAAAACATTTACAATGTATACGTTTGGCGCGGAAACACCAACAACCACGACATGTGGAGTAACATCACTAGACCTTTGGGACCAAAAGGGGGAGAGACACAATATTCGACTATACGTGACACCAGCGCTAATGAGTCTAGGGAAAGCAGTGGTCCTTTCTCCGAAGGATGCCGAGTTTATCGCGAAGCACAAGATACTTTGTCAAAAGAACATTTCAGAGAAGATTCTGTGCCTCAGATTCTACTCGGCTGTGACCAACTGTGGGAACTTTTAGATAGTACCAACCCCCAATACACCCTACCTTCGGGGTTGAAACTCATTCCCTCTAGGCTGGGCTACTTGCTCACAGGGAAGCAAGATAAAATAAACAAAGAGACGCAAAGTGCGCATAAAGCATTTCCCACTGTAAACGCGGTAAATGTCTTTATGAATTGGGAAGAGGAACTGACAAGGTGGGACAAGTATTGGGCAATTGATTCAGCTGGGATCTGCGAATACACCGGAACAAAATGCGCAGAAAAAGAAGCGGTCAATAAGAGGGTCGAAAACTTTTTCGAGCAAACCATTGAGAGACGTAGTGACGGCTACTACGTGCGCCTACCATATAAAGATAGTCACCCGCCGCTTCCCTCCAACAAAGCGATAGCATTGAGGAGACTGGAAAGCTCTCTGGACATGCTGCAATCAAGACCAAAACTGTTAGAGAACTACGATCAAACATTCAGAGAGCAAGCGGAAAAGGGGATTATCGAAGAGATCCGAAATGACCAACCACCTGAGGGAAAAATTTTACACTACATTCCGCACCAAGCTGTCATTACCCCTCAAAAAGAGACAACAAAAATGCGCATCGTCTTTGACGCATCATCTCACTATAGACAATGCCCCTCGTTGAATGATATTCTTCATCAGGGCCCTTTGATTTTACCCGAGATATATGAGATGCTGCTAAGATTCCGCGCGAAAGCATACGTTTTCACCGCTGACGTAGAAAAGGCTTTTCTACAAGTGCGCTTAAATGAATGCGATAGAGATGCAACGCGATTTTACTGGGTTCGGAACCCTACCGCCCCGGTGGATGACGACAACATAATCACATACCGCTTTACTCGCGTACCTTTTGGTTTAAACGTCTCACCGTTTCTATTGGCAGCAACGGTGAAGTATCATTTAAAGAACATGAGCGCGCACAAATTGCTAGCAGAGGAAATAGAGGAAAACATATATGTCGACAACGTGATACTGGGAGCAGATTCAACCGAAGAAATGGAAAAGAAAGCGGAAGAAGCGCGAGATACATTCGCAGAAATTGGCATGAACCTGCGCGAATTCCTCTCAAATACGCATGCAGTGCGCGACAGAATACCCATTGAAGCTTGCGCAAAATCATCGGAACAAAAAGTTCTAGGGGTAACCTGGAAAGCGGAAAATGACGAATTGGTCATACAGTGTGTTATGTCTTCTACATCGCCAATCACAAAACGCGAGGTAGCAAGACAGATCGCGTCTGTTTATGACCCATTCGGTTGGCTAACCCCCCTAATAACGCGAGCAAAACATTTCCAACAAGAACTTTGGAAACAACGATACAGTTGGGATGAAATATTATCGGAAGAACTTTCCCAAGAATGGAATATGATCGTTAACGACGCGGACGGGTTCCAGCGTCATTTCCCTAGAAGGATGCTACCAAAACTGAAACATACCAAGCTTGCCATTTTTGCTGATGCGAGCGAGATCGCTATGGCAGCCTGCGCGTATTTATTCAAGACAGGGAATGCAACACTAATCATGGCCAAGTGTAAACTTCCCTCAATAAGATCAACAGCGACAATACCTAAAATGGAAATGAATGCGCTAACCATAGCTGCACGACTCGCGCTTTCCATCTACAAAGCGCTGCAGAAAAGTGCAAAAATCAATCAAATTTCGCAAATAGTTCTATTTTCGGATTCTCAGATTGTCCTCAATTGGGTATCGAACATGCCAAACGGTACAAACGCAGGGGTGCTCATCAATAACAGACTTAGGGAAATTCAAAAGATCGTTTTAGCACTCAAAGAGAAAGGCGCAATAACCATATTCAAATACGTAAACTCGAAGGATAATCCTGCGGACGCGGGAACCAGAGGTCTGACGAAAGTACAGCTTGAAAACCACTTCTGGTGGCATGGCCCAGAATTTTTGCGCGAACCAATAGAAACATGGGCACTTCCAACATACGAAATAGAACTGCAAGGCGACGAAACTCAGTGTTTCAAAATAACGGCAACACCTCAAGCCAAAATCCAAAATCAGCAAAGTGATCTACTAGACTTGAACAGATTTAGCTCGCTGAAAAAAGCGAAACGAGTTGCTGCGCATGTTCTAGTGTTTGTTTACAAATTAATGCGCACATTTTCATTTTCGCAAAAGAAGAAAATCATGGAAAACATCCCCGAGCTAAACTCAGTCCTCCCGGAATTGCCTTTGAATGGTACCACGATTAAAGCAGCGCGATTAGCCTTGGTCAGAAATAATCAGCAACAAATCTTGTCTGAATCTTTGCGCAAGTCCCTGAAAAACTCACTGAGACTCTTTGAAGATGACCAAAAAATCTGGCGATCTAAGGGACGGTTAGGCAACTCCCCCATAAACGAAAGCGCAAAAAATCCAATCTGTATAGGGCCGAATACGCCATTAGCAAAGCTTATAATCCACGAAGCGCATGGCAATTACCATAGAGGAATCGACCACACAATAGCTACAGTGCGCACGCGTTATTGGATCCCCAAGCTACGGCAACAAGTAAGGAAAATGGTTTCTCGGTGCGCGAATTGTAAAAGATTCAACGGTCGGCCATACGCATATCCTTACACGACTGACCTCCCAGAAAGAAGAGTATAAATAAGTCGTCCATTTCAACACGTAGGATTAGACTTTTTCGACCTACCAATTTCCAAAGAAAATAACGAGCAAAGAAAAACCTACGGTTGCATTTTTACATGCACTGTAACGCGCCTAGTACATCTGGAATTAGTGCAAAGCATGGCTATAATAGACTTCCTGAATGCGCTAAGGAGATTCATCGCAAGAAGGGGAATACCAACATCCATCACTTGTGATAAAGCGCCCACTTTCCTTTTATGCGAAGTAATCCTAAGCGCCGAAAAAGGGATATCAGACTTAAATGAGGAACTAGCGCGAACTTTCGCAGA